AAAATTTTGTATCATTGTCTCAACATCATGCCAACTAACATACAGTCTTAGCTTTTTTAAAAATCAATACGTAAAAGTATGTTTAAAATTAGATCAAAAGCAACAATACATTAGCCAAAATTATGAGATTTCTGCAATTTTTTCCAAATACTTGAAATTTTTGCAATTTTTTCCAAATACTGGAAATTTTTGCAATTTTTTCCAAATACTTGAAATTTTTGCAATTTTTTCTCAAAAATTTGAATTTTTTCGAAGTTTCAGTAGGTTTCAGCATTGTTTCAATTAGATAGAAAGTAAGATTTTTTAATAATTTAGGTCAAATAATAGCTAACCTTATCGTGTTTTGAAGTTTTTTTTGAAAATTTTTTCATAAAAATTCCAAGTTTTTGCACAAAATCTCGTACCATTGACTTACCATGCACCAAAAAAACTAAATTTATAACCTTTATTCTACACGTAATTAACAATTAACTGTTCCCAATTAGGTAACGCGCGCCGAGATTTTTGCGAAAAAATTAGACAAAAACCAAAAAATTTTCGTTTTTCTTTATCTTGCCATCACACTGAAACCTTACCATCGGTATTCCCTATCTTAATACATTGTACACTCTATACCCAATCTTAATACATAGCATGGCGGACCGGAAATCTATAACGTATCTTAATACATGGGGTCCGCCATGCACCCCCCCCCCCCCCCCCCACTTCAGCTCCAACATCTACTACTGATGTACCTATCTCAGCCATAATATCTTTCATCCAACGATCCACACATCTCAGCCATCAATCATCTGGCAGTCCATCCAAACGTCCAGTCAGTCATTTATGTAGCCACTCATCATCGATCTAGCCCTTCATCCATCTACTTGACCGTTTGTCCCGTGTACATCCATATAGCCATCCATGCATCTTTCCAGTTATCCATCATCGATCAAGCCATCCATCCAGCTAGACATCTCACCATCCTGCGAGACATTCAATCGTCCAGCTATCTACCATACAGCCATCCATCCATACATCCATCTAGCTATCCAGCCATCCACCAATCTTTCTAGCCATCTGTCCATCTAGCCATTCAACCAACCAGTCATCCATTCATCTTTCCCAATTCAGTCATGATCATGCCATCCATATCAGCCAGTCATCCTTCGTTCCAGCCATCACTGAAGTCATCCATCTTTTCAACGACTCATCCAACCATCCTTCTCGCCATCCATCTAGACAGCCATCCATGCGCCTAAACAGATATCCATCAATCCTATTTCTTTTACAGGTAAACGTTGCCGTTTTTCTGGAGCATCTTTAGCTGCAGAGGTCCTGCTAGTTCGGTTTTATACTATTGCATTTTTTACATAAGATACTTCTGGCAATTTTTCGGTAGTGTTTGGGAAGCGTGGCTTCGCCAGTGGGTTGATATGCTTCAAATAATTCAGTTAAATTATTGGCAATATTTTTTCTCATCTTTTTAGCGGTTTTGATGGTTGGATTTTCAATGCACATCTGATTTTATGTTTAATGTGTCGCCCTGTGATTAGCAAGGGTATTGCAACCAGGTAATTGAGTTTTCCCTGAAAAACTTTGTTCACAGAAACCATAAAAAAAAAGAAATTATAATTTTACTTGTACAGCCTACATGTGCGGCCTATATATTGCTCTGTAGGTAGTACATGCATGATTTTGCAAGTTCTGTTTTTGCTGCAAATGTTTCGGTTGATTTTCAAGTTAATGAGTGTCGGCTTTAATTATGTCGGCTTGTGCACCTTATGCTTTGTTTGTATTATTTTGCTGTCTCATAATTGATATTGATTTATCTTTGACAATTTGTGTTAAGAAGCTTCTAACCAATTTCGTACAGAAAGATTATTATAAATCCAAATTCCAGGATACTTCTGCGCATATAGCGCGGTGGTAGCAATTTTTGTTTGAGACGTCAAAGGCCTCGTGTTTGAATCCAGTCGGGACCTGTTTTTTTTTGCTTGCTGAAAGTTTTAGACTATCGTCCGTCTGCTTTTTGTCGGCTTAGTTCACTCAGAACGGACTTTTCCGAATACTCTTTGTTACCCTTGCCATAAGCAAGGGTATTGCAACCGGGTACTAGACTTTTTTTTCCGTAAACAACATTGTCCATAGGATTCGTCTGGACTCATCTCTACCTTATTTCATTATATGTTCAAACCTAGTGTTCCTTACAAATTTAGCCTGGAGGTAACGAATATGCCTGGGGCGCCAAAGTTCCTGCGTTTGAGTCTGACCAGGACCTGTTTTTTGTTTTCAAACGCGATATATTCTGCTTGAAAAAAAAATGTCGGCCAATTATTTGTCTGCTTATCTGTTGTCGGCTTAGTTGTCACATCTTGGAATTGTTTTTTCTACGCGCGATTTTCTAATGTCGTTTTTAGTGTTTGACTTACGCCTACATTTTGTAATTTTAGTTACCATTACTTTATATTTCCTTTGTTTTTTTTGTTTCGCCTAAAAAATTCAAAAAACGTTTCAAGATCACAATTTTAGCACTCCCCTCCGCATTTTTTAAGTTGGTTGTATGTTTACCAAACTGTTTGTTGAAATTTCTTTTTTTTTCGTTTTGCAAAAATTTAGTTTTCTGATTTTCAATTTGAAAGACCGCTTATTCACTGTGTGCCTGAATACTCCCCTAGAGTCTTTTTAGTCGACCCTCCCGCCTACAGCCTTCGAAAAAGTCTTCTCAGAAACTACCTCTCTCAATTTTGAGTTCTCGGTTTTAATGGATAGAACTGTTTTAAAAGCTTCCCGGCATCAGTGGCTACGACTAATTTTTTTGCAAAAATTTATAGCCCTCGGAATAGTCAAAATTCTTATTTTGTCCGTTTTGTGCATCTTTTGGACTTTTCTCGAAAACTAACCTCTCAAATCTAATATTGTGAGTTCAATCAGATAGGAGTTTATGGGAAGCTCCTCTGCATTAGTGGTTATTAGCTATAAGTTTTATACAAGAAGTTATCGCCCTCTGAAAAGTCAAATTTTTGATCTTTTGACCGTTGTTCACTTTTTTGATAATCTCGAAAACTACCTGGGTTTTTGGGTTCAAACAGTTAGCACAACAACGTTTTGAATTTTGTGAATTCTTTGAAACTTTTGAATTTTTTTAAATTGTAACAATCAAATCTGTGATTAAAAGTTCTATTGAAAGAGCGGGTCGCGATAATTGTTCCTGCAGAAGCAGCGATTCCTTACTTTTTTCGAAGAGAAATTTTATCTCTTTGGGAAAATTGATTATCTCTAAATTTCTTTTCTCACTTATTTTAGTAGAGGAACAGCTAATGTTTTAGGCAAAATCCTTTTCTTGCTATCACACTTTTGGTGCCGCATCAGTATCGCAAACTCATTCAATATTAAACACGTACCTCCAGCTTTATTTGGGCCTGTAATTGTTTTTTTTATCGAGACTTACGAAAATTTTCGTTCACCTTGTTTTTTTTTCATTATTTAAAACTTTCTCAATTTTGACTGTTGTGTTACGTTTTTATTGTATGGCAAGTTGTGCAAAGCTCCGCTTCGCCTCTGTGTTAAACTTCCAATCGTGCTTGAAATTGAGTCCCATTTTTTGGATTTTTTCAGCCAGCTATAATTTGATGACGATTGATTTGTCCGTGATCATAGTTTTTCTTTTTTTTGTATTGCAAGTGTTGCTGGGCTCTGCTGCGCCTCAGTGTAGAGGGCTCTTTTTCCTTCTCCACCCCATGTCACACGAGGTTCACTATATTAGAGGAACGAGTGGTTTTACGAGGTTGAGTATGAAGACCAAATATGTTTGTCGTGGCCTTATTAGTCTGTATGTAAATTTTCATAACAATCGGACATTGTGGTCAACAAATTTACATGTAAACATTTGCAGGTGGGGGAAGGAAAAATAGCCGTGTAGAGATATAATTTTGGTTTATAACCAGCAAAAATTTCTGTTGCGGACAGAAAAAATGAAATACATTTATATCAAACGATTGAAATTGGAAAAAAATAAATTGTGCGAGCGGGAATTGGATCCGAGGCGAAAGTACTGGCTCACTAATTGCAATTATGAGACAAATCTCTAATTGAGCTGTATATAAACCAGCCGAAGTATAAACAAGCTGCCGTACAAACTAGCCGAAATATGTAACTGTTACATTACAGTTATGTTACAATGGCAACAGTTACCAACTTCATGCAAGATTCTGTCTAATGGCGAAACTTTTGGCTGATTTATATACCCAGTGCACTAACTTTCGGCCGGCTTCTAAATTCTGCGCTTTTTAAGCTGGTTTATAGTTTGGCTGTTTCTGTAACATTTCCGTGACCTTTATTGAAACTTCAACTGAAACTTCTAATGCAAGTACTAGAAATCCAATCGGTTTGAGGTAAATTTATATATATTGCTATAGAAAAATTGGAATAGTTTAGATATTTATATTGATGCCGTCTCAAGATTGGCATGGTAAACAAACTAAATATTGTGAAAAGATTTTTGAATTCTTTGCATCGTAATAACACTTAAAACATTTTTCAAAAGGGAATTTGAAAGGTGGAGGGAAATAGCAAAAGAGCCAATGATTTGTTGCTGTAAAGTTTTGATATGCAAAAATTGTAGAACGTTTTCCGACATTTTTCATTTTTAGTTTATTGTATGGTATACTGGGGCGTGGGTAAAAACGAGCAGTCATACTCGAATAAATTTTAAGCCATTTAGTCGTTGTGGCGCATCGGTAGTGATGGTGCCCAGCAATCCTATAATTGCAGGTTCATTCGCACGTTCGCTGCAATTTACAAAATGAGTTCTTGGGAGATAGTCATAGCTTAGTTAACCTTAATTTATTAACCTCAGGGTTAGGCCTCTGGCTGGTTAACGACAAAAAATAATATTGAAAGTTTTTCTGGAAATGATGATAAACTTAAAAGCTGACGGTGGTATTGATATAGGTACTTAAACATTGCTGAGTATACCTGTATTGTTTTTCACTGTTTTAGCAGCTTGTGATATAATCCTCTTGCGGAGCACGTGCATTTTCATTCGTGCATGTTGATAAACAGTCAAATATACTGAGATTTATATATCAACTTGCTTAAAAAATTGGTCTATCTGTGACTTTATTTGGACAGCGAAGGAACCAACTTACATGTCACCTATATTTCTTCACAATATTCTGTGTGAATAATAAAAATCTTAGAACATTAAAACAATTGTTCGATCTGGTCATTCATTTTTCTTTACCAGATCTTCCTTTCGTTTCACTTACTCGCAAAAAGCAAAAAAAAAACAATTGTTTCTCGGATACGAGAATACTTTTCTTGAACTTACGTTGCTTGGTTGAATCAATAAGCAAGCAAGAAAGAGAAGAAGACGTAGAAGAGTGTAGGATGTTGGTGTTGCCGCGTGACGTGATCAAGTGGCTGCAGAGTATGGACTTGAGTGTGGTGTGTGTGCGCAATGTGAGGCGCGAGTGTTCCAATGGGTATGTGGTGGCCGAGATCATGTCCAGATACTTCCCCCACAATGTGTCCATCCACATGTTCCACAATGGCACATCACTCGAGTGCAAGGAGAAGAACTGGAGTGTGCTCAAGTTAGAACCATTTAATAGAGTTAATAATGAGAGGCTAAAATTAGTATTGAGTTTTTGCAATTTCAACGAACAAATTGAAGGAACTTACTTCAGTAGTGTATCTTTTTTCAAGTTGTCCATTTGTTCCGGAAAAACTTAAAAGTGGTGCAATCTCAAATTATTTTTTCGCGGTTTAACTTCTTTATGTTTGTATATTTATTTTATTTTAACTAATGGATAGCAAATTACGCTCCTTCATCGACAAGTTTTGATGCCACAAAACGTGAATGTGACTTTAAGCTCCAAAAACACTTAGAATTCTTACTTTTTTGAGCGGAAAAACAAATTGTTTAGTTTTATCCAAGTGTATAGATATTTGAAGTTTAATGATTGAGCCGATTTTTAAATGAAATAGAAAGCCATCACCTGAATTTGTGTTTCAACATTTCACTGAATGGACCAAATGGGACTTATTCTCCCCTACCAAATTACATTAGCATTAATTTCATTGTAATCTAAATTTTTAATTGTTTGGAAACTTGGAAAAACAATTAATTTTTTAATGTCTGTTGACTCATTGATATTTCAAGGAGAGAAATTGAGAAGTTGGAACTGAATATCCCAGTTGAACTAATGGAAGAGACTATGCACATGAAGCCAGATGCAGCCGAACTGCTCATCCAGATACTTTACAACCGGACCACCAATCGCGTGATCAAATCCCTCCCTGTAGACCACGAGATAGATTTTAGCGACTGGTACTACCAACGTACTCTGCCCCTGCACGCAAGATCCACAGCCGCCAAAGCAGTGAGCAACAACATCAAATTCACCGAGCTCATAACTGCACCTAATGAACTGTTGAAACAGCACAAAGCACAGACTATTGTGAACAAACACATGGAACACAGAATGCAGAACAGACTGGAGTACCCGGAGAGGTTCGACATCGAACCCTCGTTGGGAGAACTGTGTCCGCGACGCCCGCCGCCTCGAGAGAATCAAGCTAACAAGAATCATGCGGCGACTGATCACAAGATTTCTGCCCAAGTCGAAGCTGCGCATTAAAACATCATACATTTTATTTGCAGAATAATGTCGAATCGAGTTTACTTTCTATACCTAACTCTTTTGACTGACTGTCAATTAGATGTGAAAAGTGCTTGGACATGAAATGCATAAGGAACAGGGATAGCGGGTTGGTGTCCAAGTAGCGGCTCTTTTTCCTCCCCCCCCCCCCCCCCCCCCCCCCCACCTGCAAACTTTTATATTTTGAAGTTACTGTTCACTTTGTCCGATTGTCATGAAAATTGGCATGTAGGCTAATTAGGCCATGACAAACATATTTTGTCTCAATAATTAACCTTGTAAGACCGCTCGTTACACTATAAAATTCATGTTTGAGTGAGTTGGGGGGGGGGGGGGGGGGGGGGGAGGAAAAAGAGCCCAAGTAGCACAGAGAGTTCTGACCACAATGAATAGTTTTAAAAATCTTTATTTTTATTGCGAATTAAGATGTTTTTTGATCGTTCGGCTATAAGCGGACCTAAACAAAAGCTTGAAAAATCTATTATAAGAGTAGAATGCGCATATTTGAAAACGGTATTATCAAAAAGCTATTTGAAAAACAAAAAAAAATCAAGAACAATTTTTGGTGGCAATTTATATATTTCAGTTTAATCATATTTTAGCCCTTTTAAGCATAGGCAATTTAATAGCATATGTTGCTGCTTTAGTTTTGTTAACGTTGCTCCCTTTTTTTTTAAAAAAGGTATTATAATTATGTATGGGAATTGTTTTCTTTTTACCCCACGTACTACGGCCTTCAAAAGTTTCACTTGGGGGTTGTTGCCCTATTTGTTTCGAATTTTTCTTTTTCTCAATATTTATCGCACAAATCCGAAAATAAGATTTCAATTAAAAGTACAAATTATGGTGATCTCTCCTTCATAACTGTCTTTTCCCTGCTTTCGATAGGAAACAAAGATATGGCCTCAAACAAACCCGTTTTTTGATGTTGGTAAAAGTTCCAAACTTTTGGACAGTTTTCGAAATTTTTTTGGCAAATCTGTGCTTAAGGATTCAATCGCAAGAAAAAGCGGTCGAAATTTTCCTTGCATAAATGGCTATGCCGTTGTTTTCATTTTAAAAAATTCAACATTAGAAAATGTCCATTTTTTGCACTTTCAATCGACTTTTGGAAAACTTATGACTTTTCCTAAAAACTACACTGACAAAATCTGCGAATCCTAACTGCGCAAGCGACTATAACCTACGTTTTGAAAAACATATATGAACTTAGAAATTATCCACTTTTTGAACTTTAACCTATTTTGGAAACATTTTCTTAAAAAACTAACCTGCTGATTTAGAGGCTGGCGGCTCATTCCATCAAACATAGTTCTAAAATCTTCTCTTCTTCAGGTTTACGAGTCCAGAATACTCGTAAACATCCTTTTAGTTCTGCAATTTTCGAGGTTTTCCAGAAATTTCTACAAAAAATAATTTACAAAAATTTCTCAATTTTTGAAATTCTCACCCTGTAGTTGGGTGCTGTCAAGGTACTCTCAGGGGTTGTGAATCTTGCCTCCAAATCTTTGTAGTTTTTGAGATGTGACGTTTCTTCTGATTTTTTATTAAAAAATTTCAAAAATGTAGATTCTTAAAAATTCCAAAACGTTGAAGATCTCATTCCTGTTGTTAGATATTGTGAGGGTACTCTCAGGGGTTGCGAATCTTGCCTCTCATAATGGCTGCTCAAAGGCTTGTAATTTTCTTGATATGACATTTTTTTAGGAATTTTTTTTTTCAACATTTTTCAGAAAATTTAGATATAAAAAATTTCAGTTGCGAATTTTTCCTCCAACTATGACTGGTCAAATCCTTGAAATTTTTGAGATACGTTGTTTTGTATGTTTTTCTCCGAAATTTTCAAAAAAACTTAGATGTTAAAAAATTCAAAACGTAGAAGATCTCGTCCCTGTTATTGGAATATGTAAGAGTACTCACAGGAGGTTACGAATCTTGCCAATTAATATAGCTGCTCAAATTCTTCGTAGTTTTCGAGATATGGCGTTTTGTAGGATTTTCTCAAAATTTTTCAGGGAACTAAGATATAAAAAATTTAACAAAAAATTTCAACTCAAATTACAAAGTAATTCAATAAAAAGAAAATCCCAACCATGTAGTTGTGTGCTGTCAGAGTATTTTCAAAGATTGCGAATATTACCATGAATTAAGACTTCTGAAATCTTGGTAGTTTTCGAGATGTAAAATTTTTTATGGTTCTCAAAAAGTACCTTTTTTTAAGAAAACTTAAGGTGAGGTTTCTCAAATTTTGAATTTCGCAACGTTGTAGTTGGGTAACTATAAGAGTACTCTCAAAAGTTGCAAATCTTGCGTCCAGATGCGACTGCTCATTTGCTTTTAGTTTCCCAGATGTGACATATCTTAGTTCCTTTTAAATTTTCTTTAAAATTTGTATAAAAAACTTGAATAGAAAACTTTGCAAAATTTGTAACTATGAACCTTGTAATTGGGTGCTGTCGGAGTTCACTCAAAGAAAGATATTATTTTTAATATATGCGGTTTATTATGAGTACCGGAGGTGCGTTTCACGCTAGTTTAATTGAAAGTAAACGAGCTTCCATGTGATCTACATTTTTTCTGAACTCAACTGATGAAAAAATGATCAAACAAATCAGTCGTTTTTTTCCAGTTCTGTAAGATTTTTCCAACTGTCAGTTGGCTGTTTTCTTGGCCAACTCACTTAAAATAGCTTTCACACAACAGTTGGTGCGCCAATTAGTCCATATGCGTAAGGGGGAAGGCAATTGTGCGATTGGATTATAAAGCTAGTCAACTTTATAGCTATTGCTTAACGTTTTTTTGGGCTAGATATGCGAAGTGGAACTTTGTCCCTCTGCTATTGTTCATTTGATAACTTTCTTGCCACCTCCATCCTATAGCTAGTTACGTTTTGATTGGGGAGTTAAATTTAGATAGTTTTATTGATGCGATGTGGAAGTTTAAGTAGCGCATCAGCCATAGGGTGAAGTTGTGCGACTCATTTTAAAGTTGTTTTTAGCGCTCCCACTCGTCTCTCATCTGATTGGATAATTGAGGCAGAAACTTCTAGAAGTCTTATCAGTTCAATCCGTGAAGTTTGAGCTATTTTCAGGTGAAATGTCCGTTAAGTTCAAGTTGTCCAAGGCCAAAGAAAGTGCGGTTTTGAGTCCAGCAGCAGCTAATTGCCTGCCAGGTGCCATTGATGCAAATGATGAAACGGAAACAGAACAAGCTCTAAGTTGTTTCGATCGCTCCTTGGATCGAAAGCGAAAGAACGAACCCCTGGTAATTCCGCTGATCAAGCGAAAATTCTTCAAATCGGAGAATGAAGAGGAAAAGGCGGCAGCTGCAGAGCTGTTATCTGAAGTGAAAGAGTTAAATGAGAAATGGGAAAACAGGGCTGAAGGTGACAATCCGCTTCAGTCTAATCTGATTGTGGACATGATGGCAAGCAGAGCCGAACATGAAGGGGAACAAGACAATGTAAACTCAAACACAAGGCCAGAAAGTTCTAATTTGGAAGAGTACGATAAGATTCCAATCAATGGTTTTGGAATGGCAATGCTTCGTGGGATGGGATTCAAGAAAGACGAAGGGATTGGACGGACCTTCAAACAGACTATTAAACCTACAGAAGTTAATTTGAGACCCAGAGGCCTAGGACTAGGAGCAACTCCAATGGGGGGTTCCAGGGATCCGTCTAGAAATAATGAAGATGATGAGCCGGAGAAAGCAGAACCAAAAGCGGGTAATTTGGTTCAAGTTTTGAGAGGGCCACACAAAGGAACTGTCGGAAAAATGGTGGGTTATGACGGAGATTCCACCCGCATTTTGGTGCAGTGTGACGAAAGTGAAAGTGTTGTCAGTGTTCCACTTAACAGCGCTTCTGTAATAACAGAAGAGGAAAAACTGAAAAGAAACAAATCAAATGGAGTTCGAGAAGTTACCGATCAAAATTCAGCCAAATCTGAAACGATTAGTGAAGCAAATTATGTTTCAAAGAAAAAGAAATCCGATGATTTAGCAACTTCCAAAACGTTCATCAAAAAGGTTCAGGAAGTTCCATGGCTTTTACCGGACATAAAAGTTCGAGTCATTGATAAGAAACTGAACAGAGGAAGACATTACAAAGAGAAAGTGAGAATTGTTGATGTGATCACGCCTTTCACATGTGACTGTCGCACGGATGACAATGTCCTTCTTGAGAACCTTCCTCAGAGCAGTCTAGAAACGGTGGTGCCAAAGATGAAAGCATCAAATGACAGGCCGCCTTTTGTGAAGATTGTAAGAGGACGGAAGAAAGGGATGACCGCAGAAGTGCTTTCAATGGATAAAGAGAAATGTTTGATTGAGGTGCTGATTATAGATATGGAGGAAGAACCGATGCGACTGACATTCGATGACGCAAGCGAACTAGCTGCCAGCTGAAGGGTTTGAAGTACGATTGATGAATCAACTAGCGTGGATCATTAACCACGTTGTACTTGGAGCAGTTGAACATTAGTCAGCAGAAGTCCACGAGCTAAGAAGTCACGAAAAGAAAGACTACAATGGAAAAAAAAACTGCCTCAAACACAAGTAACTATGATTTCGAAGTTTAATCGAACGTAATTTCTTAATATAAAAATTTACTTTTAAGCTCATGCGGGCAAAGCAACCCTTTTGAAAATGTCTATCTTCAGATTTGAAAGAAATCTTATGTAGAAGGTCATGTTCCTCGTATCGTATCAGGGTGGCGCATGTTCTGAACACCCTATAACGTCTATGGTGTAAAGTTTGACAAGACAAATAAATGAAAAAAAAACTTTAAAAAAACTGATACGTTTGTACTGTAAATACCCCAACATGCGATTTGAAACTGAGTCATTTAGCATCCATTAACGTAAAAACTAATACAAGTAGCTTCAATTTGTTTTGGAGTGGGTTCTGTAACGGATTGATTTGCCACTTATGCGTTAAAAGAGTGCGACATCTACCGCGCGTTTTTTGGCCGAAGTCTACCGCAAATTGGCCTAGCAGGGAAACTTCTGCCAAGACCAATAATTTTCACGTGATAAAAAGTTTTGTCAAAAATGGCCATTCAAAAGTTTCATACCAGCTTTTAATGATTAAGTAATTCTTCAAAATTGAAAATTAAAGATGGGTAATGTTTTAGTAATTTTTCAAATTGAAATTCATTTTGACATCAATTACACTACTAAGATAAAAAACGATCCATTCAAAAACGGTTGTTTAAAAGCCGAAATTTGTCTGGAGAAAGATAGCCTTCGTAGCAAAAATTGTCCATCACTTTGTTCTAAAGTTGGTTGGTTCAGAACTCATTTTTTACCATATCAGGTTTCAGATCTTTTTTACCCTTTTTCCGTCTTTCAAATTTTTCAATTTTTATAGTTAATTCATGTGTTATGGAGAAATGATGAAAAGGGATCTTTTCCAACCACCATTCAATTTTAATATTTTTAATTTTTGTCGTACGTGTAATTATGGCTCAACGCGGATTGTTAAGATAGAAAGTTTGACAAAAAATTCTGTTCTCAATTAGTTTGTTCACCATATCAAATGTCAATGCATTATGACAGTTTTAAAATTGTTGGCTCTTTTCCACTTCCCCCCAATTTTTAAAATAATAAACTTTATGTTTGTTTTACGTGTTATAACGGCTAAATGTGTGATGTAACGATGTGAAGTATGAAGCACAAATCTGGTCACAATTATTAGTTAGTTCACCATGTCGAAATTATTTGCATGATGACAACATAAAATAAGCTTTTCAAAATGAAATTTGAAGGTGTTGGAACCGGAAAAGAGCCAAATAATTGACAGTTTTTTTTGTTGTCATAATGTGATGAAAGTTCGCATGATGAACAACTTAACTTTTGTGAACACGTTTTTTCTTCAAAACTTACATAGTAACATTACGCATTCAGCAATTACCATAAGTAGGACAAATAAGAAAATGGAAAATTGAAAAGTGAGGGGAGGCGTGGGAGAACCCAAATTTCAAATTAAGCTTCGATCGCATGCATCAGTAACATGAACGAGATAAATTGCTATGGGGGGAGAAAGTTTCAGACAACGTTAGTGCGTATACGATTTTCCTTTTTCCTCCAATCCCCCTGCCTCACATAAGCATCGTTTTTATAAGTTAAGTATGAGGTTGAGGTTACAAGGTTACAAAAACTGTTTGTTGTAACATAATTAGTCGGCATACTATTTTTGTAACAACATGGCAAAAAACTACTTTCGAAAGTTTACAGGGGTGAGAGGAAAAGAGTAAACGTTTTCTCAGGGAGTTCAGAAAATTAAAAGTCATTTTAAACAAACTTTCGTTATTTATTGATTTTCATAATTAGGGCCTGACAAACATATTTAATTTTCATAATCAACCTTGTAAAACCACTCGTTAGACAATAGAATTGATGCTCGTGTGGGGTGGAGGGGAGGAGGAAAACGAGCCGTAAACTGGAAAAGCTGCCTTCCCTAGTCCCCCTCTGTCCCATTCTCATTAAGTAGCCTGGCTCTTTCTACTCCCCCACCTGTTGCAATTTGTGTCACATTTGTCGATTGTTATCAAAGTTGGCATGCTGACTAATTAATCAGGCCATGACCAACATATTTGGTCTTCATAAGCAACGAAAGGAAAGCAACTCGTTGCTCCTTAAAATTGAGGCTCGTGCCAGGTGGGGGCAAGCCTCGTCGACAAATTACAGCTAGCTACCCGTAGCAGATTACTACCAGATGACTTGTTTTGTTGTTTCTGAGTTGGGGTGGTCTATAATCGAATGAGTCGAAATGAATTGCAAAGTTTGGAATACGCTTTAATGTAAAAAAAAGATATTCAGCCGATTTGACTCGTAAAATTATGAGTCATACTGGATGTTTTCTATCTAATTTACCCGCTCTAAGATAGAACATAAATGGTTCAAATTACCGCAATCGGCGTAAGTCGACCTAGTTATAAAAAACGACTTTAAAACAAGACTTGAATTTTTAAAAACCAAGGTAACAAACAATTTCAAACAAAGACTACAAAATTACCAAGTAACAACAAATAGCAAAAAAAAACTATTTATAACAATCTGAAGTTATGGCCGATGCACAACCAGCCCCCGCTCCGGAACCAGCCGACCCCCTGGGACCGGCAGAGAATAGGCCAAGCCAGACATGGGGACAGCACTTGTTCTCACAGGCCGAGTTGGATTATAATGAAAACCTAGACCATCGATCTGCTTCGATACTGCGCGTGCTGTGCGATCGACTCGGCCGATCTCACTGGCAAGAAGAAAAGAGACGGATGGTGGGACAAGGCCCCCAACTCAATCGTTTACCCTGCGGTCAAATGTGGCATTGGGCGTTGTCAGCTCCTCACAGAGATTTAAGAGGAACAGGATATACGGTAATCAGAAAGTTTTTGTTTACCGCAAACACCGAAATGCTTGTACAGTTGGGTTCAAATTAAACACTATAAAGAAAAAATAAATTGTTTTCAAATAAAACTCGTGCCACTGTAAGAATGTGAGATTTTACAAGAAAAAGGAATCCCGTTTGGAGAGTGCCATGGAGCTCTGCAGTCATGTTTTTGGCACGCTTCTGCCGAAGAATAAAAATCATTCAATAAAAAAACTAACTCTTTCCAGTTTTTCTTTTTCATTTTTAATTTTGAAAAGCCTATTTAACGTTGTCATAAAGCAACAAACAAAATTGGCATGGTGAACAAAGTGACAACTGTGACCAGATTTGTTCTCAAGACTTCACATCGTAAAATCACGCATTTAACCGTAATAACGCGTAAAAAAAATAATTTAAGAATAAAGCGACGGACAATTTCTGCTTCGAGTGCTTTTTTTCCAGACAAATTTTGGCTTTTTAATCAAACTTTTTCGACGGGATTTTTTTCATCATTTGAATGTAAATTGATGTCAAGAATTTGGCTGTTGAATTTGAAAAACTGTTTGGTTATTGCCCACCTTTGATTTTCAATTTTGAAAAATTACTTATCAGTAAACACTGGAATGAAACTTTTGAATGAACATTTTTCCCTAATTTTTTATCAATTGGTAAAAAAATGCACAAAAAATTTTATGTCTGAAGTTAATTCAAAGTTCTTAAAACTTTTTACTCTCCATTGTTTACAGAAACAACTAAGGTTTCATCTGAAGCCCAATTTTGAAATGATCTTGGCTCTTTTCCAGTTCCCCCCTTTCAAAATAACGAGTTTTATGTTTGTTTTACGTGTTATTACGTCTAAATGCGTGATGTTACGCTGCAAAGTATGAAGAACAAATCTGTTCAGAATTGTCGATCTGATCACCACGCAAAATTTCATCGCATTATGACAACGTTAAATAGACTTTTCAAAATTGAATTCGAAAGGGGGGGGGGGAACTGGAAAAGAGCCATGATCTTTTTCACCCGTCGTTCTAGTAACAAAATCAAGGTTTAAAACAGGTACCTCCAGTTTTAGCAGGACCCTCGTACCTCAAATTATACGGTACTTTAATTTTGTAAACCACTTTTATTGTCAGTTTTACACTTGCCTAATCATTATATTTTGTTTAAGAAAACCAAACGTTATTTAACTCAAATCATAGTACCGAAAGTTAACGGATTTTCCTAGTTGAGAATTAAACATGAACGCTTTCAAATGAAAAACTAAAATTATTAAGGACTAGTTTTTTAGTTTCAAACTTCTGCTTCTAAACTCGTCGCAAAAGCTCGCGCCCGGTTTTTCATTTCTAATGTATTTTGCTTGTAATGTCAAAAAATTAGTTTGGTTGTTCGACCTATATACAATTTTCAACAAATCTGTATGCGCTTACCCTTTACTCCACCTTGCGCATGGTGCAGATCTACCGTTGAACTCTTTCTTTTATAGTCCTCAACTCTTGAGTTCAATAGCCGAACAATAGCGACATATGTGAAGTTAGATCCACAACAAGACAGTTTATAACTCAATTTTGTCTTGAGGTAATTAAAAAATGCTGATTTCAGCTCAGCAATGGTAAGCAAGATTGTTGGTTTTTCTTAGTAAAACTATTTGAACATTTGTTAGCTTTCCTAATTTGATTGGAAAATTTTGGCTTTCAGTTCCTCTATAATAAAAAATCATCAAATAAGGCTTCTCAGTTTTTTGGTTGAGTTAACAAAATCCTCTTGATGTCCACTGGCTTGATTGCCTCCTTTAGGTTTCTATAGCTTCGAATATATATGACTGAACTGTTGATTTCTTATTTAACTTAACAGTTTCTGCTTTCAAAATAATTTCGGGTAGTTATTGATTGACTTGAGATCAGGGCAAACTCGTTTTCATAAGCATTAGTTTATGGGCCCAGAAAACGTTCGTGAGTAGTATTCTTGTTGTTTTACTTTGAAGATTACCCTGTTGGTATCATTCAGTTAACTGGGCCTTTTTTGCTATTAATTTTCGGTTACAGCCACTATTAATTTGTGAACAATTTGTGAACCACTTGTCATAAGTAACAGTTAGTTAGAAGTATTCGACTTTCCAAAGCTAGATGGCAAAAATACCGTGACTGGAATTGGCACATGAAGTTGTACTTGCTGGACAAGGTTTCTGTGATTATGTGAATGGAACCACTATCCGAAAATTACCATTCCCAATAATCGAAGAACAAACAAATGTCACATATAA